TGCCTTCAGCTCAGGTTATGATCCCAGGGGCCTGGGATCGAGCCCCATCAGGCTCCCTGCTCAGCAGGAAGCCTGCTTCTCCTTCTCCCACTCCCCCTGCTTGTATTCCCTCTCTGGCTGTGTCTCTCTCTCTCTCAAACAAATCAATAAAAACTTAAAAAAAAAATAAGAGAGAGAGATTACCGGGATGCCTGGGTAGCTCAGTTGGTTAAGCATCTGTCTTCAGCTCAGGTCATGATCCCAGGGTGCTGGGATCAAGTCCCACATGAAGCTCCAGGGAGCCGGCTTCTACCTCCGCCTGCCGCTCCCCCTGCTTGTGCTCGCTCTCTCTCTCTCTCTTTCTGACAAAAAAGATAAATAAAATCTTTTAAAAAAGAGAGAGAGATTACCAACTAAGTAGCAATAGAAATAACTACAGATTTCTCAAGGAAAAAAAAAAGGTATCAGAGATAATAGGATAATAAAAGAATAATATCTTCCAAGTACTGAAGAAAAAAGTCAGTCAAGAATTCTACATTCATTCAACAGACTCAGCAAGTGCAGTGAATTCATTTTTTCAAAACTCAACACCTTCTTTGTGTCTGGCATTTTTCTAAATGATTGTGATACATAACAAATGAAATAGACAGAAATCCATGTCCTCAGGTAGCCTGGGTGCCTCAGTTAGTTAAGCCTTTGACTCTTGGTTTTGGCTCAGGTCATGATCTCAGGGTTGTGAAATCAAGCCCTGTGATAGGCTCCATGCTAGGCTTTCTCTCCCTCTCCCTCTGCCTCCCCCATGCCCCCCCTGCCCCGTGCTCGCTCTCTCTCTCTCTTTAAAAAAAAAATAACCCAAACAGGTAAGAGAATTAAGATGGTCTGAGGTGGGAAATGGGATGGAAGTTATTAAAGGGTTGTCAGGGTCACCTCATTAAGGAGGTGGCATTACAGCAAAGATCTGAAGGAGGTGAGGTACTTCATGGAAATGTATCCAGATAAGTATTTATTTAGGCATGAGAGAGAAACAAGAGCATTTTTAGACATATAAAGATTGTGGGTGTTTAATACTCATACTCACTGACATAACTATTAAAATGAAGATTTTTGCAAGAAGGAAACTGAAGACAAAAAGAGAAAAAAGCAAAAAGAAATGGTGAGCAAAGGCTTTACAAAATCTTTTTTAAAGATTTATTGACTTTTTTGGGGACACAGTGAGTGTGTGCATGAGAATGGGGGGAGGGGCAGAAGGAGAGGGAAAGAAGCAGACTCCCTACTGGGCATGGAGCCTGATGTGGGGCTCGGTCTCAGGAACCTGAGATCATGACCTGGGCTGAAACCAAGAGTCAGAAACTTAACCAACCGACTGAGTCACCCAGGTGCCCCAACTTTGCAAAATCGAAATGAATACTAACTGTTCACATATAAAGGGAGGATTAAAAAATGAAACTCAAATACCTCACAACCATACCTCACAACACAGAAAAGTAGATGGCGTGATGGAAAGGATTCGAGTTAAAGCCCTGAAAATTTCATGTATTGCTTGCAAGAATGATGTAGTTACTTATTAACTCTAAACTTATTAAAAATTAAACATGTAGGGGCGCCTGGGTGGCTCAGTGGTTAAAGCCTCTGCCTTCAGCTCAGGTCATGATCTCAGGGTCCTGGGATCGAGTCCCGCATCGGGCTCTCTGCTCAGCAGGGAGCCTGCCTCCTCCTCCTGTCTCTCTCTGCCTGCCTCTCTGCCTACTTGTGATCTGTCTGTCAAATAAATAAATTAAAAAAAAAAATTAAACATGTATGTTGACATTTTAAATCAATAATACAAGAGAGAGTAAAAACAAGCAAAACATACATTTAAAAAATTAAAAATACAACCCTGAATAGCCAATGAGCTCATGAGAAAATTGTAGTGGAAATCATGAAAAAGTTAAAACTGAATGACAATAAAATATAAAAACATGTAACATGCATCTAAAATGGAATCATGGGGCGCCTGGGGGGCTCAGTGGGTTGGGCCGCTGCCTTCGGCTCAGGTCATGATCTCAGGGTCCTGGGATTGAGTCCCGCATCGGGCTCTCTGCTCAGCAGGGAGCCTGCTTCCCTCTCTCTCTCTGCCTGCCTCTCTGTCTACTTGTGATCTCTGTCTGTCAAATAAATAAATAAAATCTTTAAAAAAAATGGAATCATGAAGAAAATTTACAGTGTTAAATACATTTTTTTCCAAAATATGCCAAATTAGGGTGCCTGGGTGGGTCAGTTGGTTAAACATCTGCCTTCATATCGGGTTATATCCCAGGGTCCTGGGATCCAGTCCTGCATTGGGCTCCCTGCTCAGTGGGGAGTCTGCTTCTCCCTCTCCTTCTGCCTGCTGCTCCCCTTCCATGTTCTCTCCCTCTCTCAATCTCTGTCAAATAAATAAAATCTAAAACATATGGCAAATCAATGCATAAGGAGTTCTATTTTTAATATTTATTTTCATCTCTATTTTTATTATTTTTTTAAGTAGTCTCCGTGACCAGTGTGGGGCTTGAACTCACAACCCTGAGAACAAGAGTCACATGCTCTACCAACTGAACCAGCTAGGTGCCCCAACAGTTCCATTTTTTTTTAAATAAGCAATTATTGGGACGCCTGGGTGGCTCAGTTGGTTAAGCAGCTGCCTTCGGCTCAGGTCATGATCCCAGCGTCCTGGGATCGAGTCCCGCATCGGGCTCCTTGCTCGGCAGGGAGCCTGCTTCTCCCTCTGCCTCTGCCTGCCACTCTGTCTGCCTGTGCTTGCTCTCTCTCTCTCTCTCTGACAAATAAATAAACAAAATCTTTAAAAAAAAAAAATAAAATAAATAAATAAATAAATAAGCGATTATTTACTTATTTACTTGAGAGAGAGAGAGAGCAGACATAAGGAGGGGGAGAGGCAGATGGAGATAAAAAGGGAGAAGCAGACTCTAATGAGCAGGGAGCCCTACATTGGGCTTGATCCCAGGACCCTGAAATCATGACCTGAGCCAAAGGCAGATGCTTAGGGCACCTGGGTGGCTCAGTAAGTTAAGCCTCTGCCTTCAGCTCAGGTCATGATCTCAGGGTCCTGGAATCGAGTCCCGAATCACGCTCTCTGCTCAGCGGGGAGCCTGTTTCCCTCTCCCTCTCCCTCTCTCTCTCTCTCTCTCTCTCTCTGCCTGCTTGTGATCTCTCTCTGTCAAATAAATAAATAAAATCTTAAAAAAAAGAAGGCAGGCGCTTAACCAACTGAGCCACCCAGGCACCCCATTTTTGAAGCTAGAGAAAGAGCAGAACAAACCTAAAAGGACAGAGGAAAAAAATAATACAGAGAAGAGTAAAAATTAATAAATGCATACATAAAGAGTGGAGATATCAATAAAATCAAAAGCTGGTTCTTTGAAAAGACTAATATGATCTACCTTTATGAAGACTGACCTATTTAAAACGATGAAAGGTAGGGTGCCTGGGTGGCTCAGTTGGTTAAGCAACTGCCTTCTATTCAGGTCATGATCCTGGAATCCCAAGATCAAGTCCTGCATGGGGCTCCCTGCTCAGTGGGGAGTCTACTTCTCCCTCTGACCCTCCCTGCCTCATACTCTCTCTCACTCATTCTCTCTCTCAAATAAATAAAATCTTAAAAAAAAATAAAACACTGAACGGTATATATAAATAATACTGAAAAAAAAGATATAACTACAAGATTCAATTAAAATTAAAAGCTATATAGAACATTTTGGAAACATGACAGAATGAAAATGTTTTCATTTCCCCAACATCCTGAAATCCCACTAAAATGATAATAAATAATTATATGGGGTGCCTGGCTGGCTCAGTTGGTAGAGCATGTGACTCTTTTTTATTTTTTTTAAAGATTTTTATTTATCTATTTGACAGACAGAGAGACAGAGAGAGAGGGAACACAAGCAGGGGGAGTAGCAGAGAGAGAAGCAGGCTCCCTGCAGAGCAAGGAGCCCAATTATGGGACACGATCCCAGGACCCGGGGATCAGGACCAGAGCCCAAGTTAGACGCCCAACGACTGAGCCACCCAGGCACCCGAGCATGCGACTCTTGATCTCAGGGTCATGAGTGTGAGCCCCACATTGAGCATGGAAATTACTTCAAAAATAAAAATTAATTAATTAAAATGATAATATATAAATATAAAAGATATGGACCCACAAAGTCATAAAACTTGCTTAGCGGAATGGAGGAATTTTGAAACTAAGTACGCATATCAGGGAAGCCAACAACATATAATCCAATTTGTGCTGCAGAAAGCCATGAAAGTTGAGGAACTAAAGGTATCGGCATATTCACTATTTCACATTATGTACAAAAACTGTAATATGCTGGGAAAAGATTTATGATTTCTGTCACACAAGTACCACTGATACTGCTATGCTCTGTTGCCTACATTCATAATTGAAGGAAATGCTAAATTTCACATAATGGTTAGTGAAAATATAAGAGGTAACTTTTTTCCAACCGAGTTCGCAAGTTCAACATACCTGTGGCTCGGCAAGTCCACTCTTAAATATATACCCAATGGGAATACTTCCAAGAAGGAACATATATATAAGAATGTACATGGGCAGGGCTCCTGGGTGGCTCAGTGGGTTAAAGCCTCTGCCTTCAGCTCAGGTCATGATCCCAGGGTCCTGGGATCAAGCCCCGAATCAGGCTCTCTGCTCAGCGGGGAGCCTGCTTCCTCCCCTCTCTCTGCCTGCCTCTCTGCCTACTTGTGATGTCTATCTGTCAAATAAATAATTAAAACCTTAAAAAAAAAGAATTTACATAACATTACTTAATAGCCAGAAATTGGAAACAATTCAAATGGTCAAAATCAGTAGAATGACATCCAGAAAACAGGAATCTAAGAAAGGCAAAGTGAATTTCCAGGATGACATCTGTGTAGCAGGCCTAAAGATCAGTCAATCGTTACAGTTGTATAAGGGTAGATGGCAAGAAGAAATATGTCTCCAAATAAAAAAACAAAATGAATACTAAAAGATTACCTGATTCCTTTGACCTTGTCGAGTAGGGTTTTACATCTCTGGAGGGGTCTGGTGAAATAATTACTAATGGGTACAAGAAAACAAATCAATTAAACAAAATAACCAAGGTAATTATTAATTCTAGATAAAACAAAATGTCATATTTGAAAAGCAGCATAATAAGAATATATAGTTGACCCTTGAACAATGCAGGGATTAAAGGTACCAAATTCCCCACACAGTCAACAGTCTAACTTCGGAGTCCACCAAGACTTAAGTACTAAAAGTCTACTGTTGATTGGAAGCCTTACTGATAACAGAAACAGTTGGATTAACACATATTTTGTATATGTATTACATACTGTGTTCTTATAGTAAAGTAAGCTAGAGAAAAGAAATGCTATTAAGAAAATTATAAGGAGGGGCACCTGGGTGGCTCAGTGGGTTAAGCCTCTGCCTTCGGCTCAGGTCATGATCTCAGGGTCCTGGGATCGAGCCCCACATCGGGCTCTCTGCTCAGCAGGGAGCCTGCTTCCCCCTCCTCTTCTCTCTGCCTGCCTCTCTGCCTACTTTACTTTTTGCCTACTGTAATCTCTGTCAAATAAATAAATAAAATCTTAAAAAAAGAAAATCATAAGGAAAATACAATTACAGTACTATATGTATATTTACTGAAAAAAATCCATGCACGAGGGGACCTGTGCAGTTCAAACCCATGTTGTTCAAGGGTCAACTGTATTATATGTCTCAGCTATGAACAACAATAAATTATCATAATAATGTTAACAATGAATTATGATTGACCAAAAACTTCAACTAAAACAGGTAAGGGGAAGTATATGCAAGACTTTGCATTGTGAATAAATCCCATTAGAAACACTACTATCTTTTACTTGTGGTTTGCCAGTCTGCCATGACTTGAGTAATTAATAACAGATACAACTTGTGAGCTGGAACTATTTTCTACAATAGACATGTTTGTGACATCATGAAATTCTCCAAAACATGTCTTACAAGCTATTGGAGGCAATACACGCCTTAACACACGATGGGTAAAGGCAGGTTCTTTAGTAAAAGATTATGAAAAGAACCCTTATCTCCTTATACTGAATGTCAGGAAGGCACAAAAAGAGGTTCCCTGCAGCTTATGATAAAGAACAAAACATAGTCAAATTTATTCTTCCTTCGAAACGTGCTTTCAAGATGATTAGTCGGGCAACACGTTTTCTTATTTAGCTCCTATGGTCTTAAATGTTCTCCAGCTTCTTTTTTTTTAAAGATTTTGTTTATTTATTTGATAGAGAGAGAGAGGGAACACAAACAGGGGGAGTGGGAGAGGGAGAAGCAGGCTTCCTGCTGAGCGGGAGCCCAATGTGGGCCTTGATCGCAGAATCCTGGGATCATGACCTGAGCGGAAGGCAGCCGCTTACGGACTGAGCGACCCAGGTGCCCTCCAGCTTTTTTAATAAGTAAAGTTAGAAAAGCAATCTATAGCAAAGCACATAAATGAACAGAAATTTCAGGTTGAAAAGAGTGTTTTGTGTGTGTTCAATACGCCTCACCCATTTTTCCCTTTTAATTGGGAGTGGACAGTACAAATGGTTGTATTCTCCGTTTCTCCTCTCATACACTCTAACTCGTGTGTGTTTGCAGGAGGTGGTAGCTATAGGAGAACTCAATGCTCATCTTCAACAAAATTCAACAGATAATGCTCTTCTTTGCTTCTGTATAAATCTGAATAGAAAAGGAGAAGGATTTGGAGAATTGGGGAAATAATCTTTTGGTTTGAGTTTTAAATTTAGGAAAAAAAAAACCAGGGGCACCTGGTGGGTGGCTCAGTGGGTTAAGCCTCTGCCTTCAGCTCGGGTCTTGATCTCAGGGTCCTGGGATCAAGCCCCGCATTGGGCTCTCTGCTCAGCGGGGAGCCTGCTTCCCCCTCTCTCTCCGCCTGCCTCTCTGCCTACTTGTGATCTCTCCCTCTGTCAAATAAATAAATAAAATCTTTTAAAAAATTTTTTTTAAATTTAGGAAAAAAATAACTTTTTAGATTTTATTTATTTGGGAGAGTGAGAGCACAAGCAGGGGGAGGGGCAGAAGGAGAGGGAGAGAATCTCAAGCCAACTCCTGGCTGAGCACAGAGCCCAATGTGGGGCTTGATCTCATAACCCTGTGATCATGACCGGAGCCAAAATCAAGAGTGGTACGCCCAACCATCTGAGCCACCCAGGCGCCCCCAACAAATAACTTTTTTAAAATTGTAGGGTAGGGGCCAAGGGCAGGCCATCTCAAAGTGTACCACTGGGCATACTGATTATTTTTAATTAAAAATTACTTAAGGGGCGCCTGGGTGGCTCAGTCAGTTAAGCGTCTGCCTTTGGCTCAGGTCATGATCCCAAGGTCCTGGGATTGAGTCCTGCATCAGGCTCCCTGCTCAGTGGGGAACCTGCTTCTCCCTCTCTGTATCCCTCTCCCTGCTTGCGCGCTCTCTCAAATAAATAAATAACAACTTAAAAAAAAAGTTACTTAAGGGATGCCTGGGTGGCTCAGTCGGTTAAGCGCCTGCCTTCAGTTCGGGTCATGATCCCAAGGCCTTAGGATCAAGTCCCGTAACCAGCTCTTTGTTCAGCAGGGAGCCTGCTTCTCCCTCTGCCTGCTCTGCCTGCCACTCCCCCTGCTTGTGCTCTGTCTCTGACAAATAAATAAAAATCTTAAAATAAAATAAAGTTACTTAAGAAATAGCCAGTGCAAGGGGCACCTGGGTGGCTCAGTCATTAAGTGTCTGACTTCGGCTCAGGTCATGATCCTGGGGTCCTGGGATCGAGCCCCACACTGGGCTCCCTGCTGGGCGTGAAGCCTGCTTCTCCCACTCCCCAACTGTTCCCTCTCTCGCTGTGTCTCTCTCTGTCAAAAAAAAAAGAAATAGCCAGCACAAGAACACTCTGACCACCCCCCAACTTTGTCTCCAGAAAGCAGGAAATAAATCTCCCATGTGAAAGGTACACCCTCCCTGTACCAGGAGGTAAACAGACATCCTTATCACCAGAGAAAGAATTCAGAGCCAAGAAGGCTGTATAAACAAACCTTATACTTTTACTAACTTACCACCCCAGCTCAAATTCTGTTCAGAATTCCTTACCAATTGAAGCTCCTGAACATAAGTTTTCTTTGGCCTGTCCGTTCCTCACAGATATATTGTCTCTTTGTCTAAAAAATATAAAAACTGTCTGCCTTGGTCATTTCCTTAGGTCTCAATTTCATTATTGGGCCTCTGTGCATACATAATTAAACTTTGGGTTTTTTCTCCTGTTACCTGTCTCAAGGCAATTTAATTCTTGGACCAGGTAGAGAGTCTTGAGGATAGAGGAAAAAATTTCTTCTCCAACAGCAGCAGAAACACTAACTTTTTAAAAAATATTTTATTTATTTATTTGAGAGAGAGAGAGCACGAGTGGGGGCAGATGCAGAGGGAGAGGGAGAAGCTGACTCCCCACTGAGCAGGGAGCTCAATGCAGGGCTCCATCTCAGGACCCTGGGATTATGACCTGAGCCAAAGGCAGTCGCTTCACTCCCTGAGCCACCCAGGCACCCCAGAAAGACTAACTTTTTTTCTTTTTAAAATTTTTTTAAGTAATCTGTGCACTCAACAAGGGGCTTGAACTCACAATCCTAAAATCAAGAGTCACATACTCTTGAGCTAGCCAGGTACCCCAGCAAGACTAATTTGAAAGTATTCATCTTGGGGGGTGGTGCATGTGTGGCTCAGTCGGTTAAGCATCTGACTTGATTTCAGCTCCGGTCACAATCACAGGGTTATGTGATCAAGGCCTGTGTTGGGCTCCACACTGGGCATGGAGTCTGCTTCAGATTCTCTCCCTCTGACCCTCCTCTTTCTCTCTTCTTCTCTAAAAAAATGAAGTATTCATCTTAACATCATTATAATAAAGCTTTTCTATTTTGAATACTCTGTTCTTAGCTGATGTCTCTAAATGATTTCACTTTTAAATTCACCATTATACATTACATACTCATACGATTATGTGAACAACCAAAGTTTATAGTATTTGAAACAACCAAAAGGCAAAGGGCCTCTAATGTCTATAAAAGCAAAATGTGGGGGCACCTGGGTGGCTCAGTAGTTTAAACATCTGACTCTTGATTTTGGGGCTCAGGTCATGATCTCAGGGTGGTGAGACTGAGCCCCGTGTCTAGCTCCTCGTTCAGCAGGGAGACTTCTTAGAATTTTCTCTCTTCCTCTGTCCCTCCTTGCCCAGCCCCCTGCTCATGCACGTATTCTCCCTCTCTCTCAAATAAATAAATAAACCTTAAAAAAAAAGACAAAATGAGAAACATGAGATCTTTTAACATTGGAAGCTTTTTTTTTTTTTTAATTTTTTTGGTCTTTGGGACTGCCCTACTAGAAATTAGGAAAAGTATTATTAACTTTGAACCATTTTCCCCCTTAGGATTAGTAGTGGCTGCTTGGTAGTTGTTTACCATATATAAATGAGAAACATTTCTGATCTTATTATTTTTGGTTTTTTTAAATTATTCTTTGATTTTTCTTTTTACTTTGGGCTTTTAAAAATAGCTCCAAATCCTAGATGCCTGGGTGGCTCAGTGGGTTAAAGCCTCTGCCTTCGGCTCAGGTCATGATCTCAGAGTCCTGGGATCGAGCCCCACATCAGGCTCTCTGCTCTGTGGGGAGCCTGCTCCCCACCCCCTGCCTGCCTCGCTGCCTACTTGTGATCTCTGTCTGTCAAAAAAATAAATAAAATCATAAAAAAAAGCTCCAAATCCTCCCAGTCTGAATTTCTCTAAATTGTTATTTATCTAATTGTCTTCCTTTACTTCTATACCTATAGAATGTGTTACAGTGCTACAAATAGTGTTACTATTTGACATGAAACCTCTTCATGTTTTTATAATATAACATAAACAACATCTTTTCTTTTAATTTTTACAAAATTTTAATTCCAGTATAATTAACATATAGTAATATATTATAGGCATAAAATACAGTGATTCACCAGTTTTTTTTAAGGATTTTATTTATTTATTTGACAGACAGAGATCACAAGTAGGCAGAGAGGCAGGCAGAGAGAGGAAGGGAAGCAGGCTCCCTGCTGAGCAGAGAGCCCAATTTGGGACTCGATCCCAGGCCCCTGGGATCATGACCTGAGCCGAAGGCAGTGGCTTAATCCACTGAGCCACCCAGGTGCCCCGATGGTAAGCTATTTTAAATAATTATACCTTGTAAGCCTCCTTTTTATGTTGGAATCCAAAGTCCTCAAAAATACCTTTAATACCTCGACTAATATATAAAATAAAATATTATCCTTTCCTTTACAGATAACATTAAAATCAGCAAGTATTTATGTGAAATAACTTTTTGTACTTTATAAATCATCCAACTCCTTTCCTAAATGTCTGCTTGGGATCTGGGTAATTTCAGAGCTGATCTGGGTCAGGAATTAATTTCAAACAACAGTGAACACAAGAGTGTTTAAATAAAGATCATTTGGGGGCACCTGGGTGGCTCAGTGGGTTGGGCCTCTGCCTTCAGCTCAGGTCGTGATCTCGGGGTCCTGGGATTGAGCCCCACGTCAGGCTCTCTGCTCGGCGGAGAGCCTGCTTCCCCCCCCCCCCGCCCCGCCACCTGCCTCTCTGCCTACTTGTGACCTCTTTCTCTCCCTATCAAATAAATAAGTAAAATCTTTTTTAAATAAATAAATAAAGATCATTTTGATCTTGAAACAATGGTAGTCTTACAGTTCCCATTATGCTGGGTGAAGTTGAACACCAAGCAGTCCCCACATGAGTCCCATGAGTTTTATTTGTGAAAGGAGTAGATATAAAAGGGGCACTACAACTTATAAAAAAATGGCCTGCTCAAGTAAGGCCAGGGAAGAATTTCAGAAGAAAAACAGTACGGTTTTTCTGTGTGTATGTAGACATTTTCCCTTCTGCTTTTCCGGGTGGGGAGACAACCCCAACCACGATAATGCCTAGCTTGGGAAGTGGGAAGAAGGATCTTGGACTATACTGTGAAACAGTGACAGTCTAGGATGTGAGGAACTTTGGAAGAGTTCTCTACCTCTCTCTCTCTCTGTCTTTTATTCTCCCTTTTAACTGGCGAAAAGGGGCCATACCACACCCTTCCCCTTGGGTTTTGTTTGTTTTTTTTTTCCTTTTGTTTTGGAATAAATAATATATTAATAGGGTACAATAACCAAAAGGTTAAAAAGATGTACAGTGAGAAATATATGAAAAGGTGGGCAACTTCATTAATCATTAGAGAGGTGCCAAGTGAAACTGCAAGGGGGGACTTCTGCGTGGTTCAGTCTGTTAAGCTTCTGCCTTTGACTGAGGTTATGATGTCCCGGGCCTGAGATCGAGTCCCACATTAGGCTCTCTGCTCAGTGGGGAGCCTGCTTCTCCCTCTGCTTACTGCTCTCCCTGCTTGTACACTTGCTCTCTCTCTCTCTCTGGCAAATAAATAAATAAAATCTTAAAGAAAACCAACAACAGTGGGCTACCACTATATGCTCATCTAGTTTTCACAAGGGTATCAAGCAACTGGAACTCACACATGGCTCTTAAGAATGTAAAACAGGGGGCACCTGGGTGGCTCAGTGCGTTAAGCCTCTGCCTTCGGCTCAGGTCATGATCTCAGGGTCCTGGGATCGAGTCCCGCATCGGGCTCTCTGCTCAGCGGAGAACCTGCTTCCTCCTCTATCTCTCTCTCTGCCTGCCTCTCTGCCTGCTTGTGATCTCTCTCTGTAAAATAAATAAATAAAAATTTAAAAAAAAAGAATGTAAAACAGTACAAACACATTGGAAAGCTCTTTGGCAGTGTGCAAGCCAAGGGTAGGCTGCATCAAATGTGACATTTTGGCAGAGTGACTACATAGAATTAAAATTACTCACGAAATTCTGACTTCCTTTTGTCTCCAGAAAGCAAGGAATAAATCTCCCATGCGAAAGGTACCCTTCCTGTACCAGGAGGCAAAGAGACATCTTTATCATCAGAAATAGAGACTTCATAAACAAGAAGGTTGTATAAACAAGTCTTGTTACTTTTACTAGTTTACTGCCCCAACCCAAACTCTGTCTAGAATTCTTTACTAATCGAAGCTCCCAAACATAAGTTTTTACAAAAGACTTTATTTATTCATTTGAGAGAGACACACAGAGAGAGAGAGAGACAGGGAGAAAATGAGCAGGGGCGAGGATGGAGAGGGAGAAGCAGGCTCCCCGTTTAGCAGGAAGCCCGACGTGTGACTCAGTCCCAGGACTCTGGGATCATGACTTGTGCCAAAGGCAGATGCTTAACTGATTGAGCCACCCAGGCGCCCTGAACATAAGTTTTCTTTGTCCTGTCAATTCCTCACAGATTTGTTTGCAAAAAAATTAAAAAGCTATCTGTCTTGGTCATTTCTTTGGGTCTCAATTTTATATTAGGCTTCTATGCACATGTAATTAAACTCTGGCTTTTTTTCTCCTATTAATCTGTCTTATGTCAATTTAATTCTTAGGCCAGCTAGAAGAATCTTAAGAGTTCAAGTAAAATTTTTCCTTATTAAATGGAACATATGCTTACTGTATGATCTGGCAATTCCAATGCTAGATATGTATCTGATATAAATGTATACATTTGATCACCAAATGATATGTACTGGAATATTCAGAGCAGCACCCCACATAGCGAAATGGATACACTGTGGTAGAGTCACACAATGGAATACTATACAGCAATGAAAATGAACAATTCAAAGCTACATGTGAGAATATAAATGAATCTCACAGCCATAAATGTTAAGAGAAAGAAGCCAGGCATAAAGAATTCACACCATGTAGTTCAGTTTACATAAATTTCTGAACAGGCAAAATTAACCAATGTGTGAGAAGTCAGGATGGTGGTATTCTTGGTAGAGGAAGTGACCTGGAAGGGAAACCAAGGGAGCATCTAGATTGCTGGCCATGCTCTTTCTTGCTCTCAGTGCTGGTTACGTGAGTGTGGTCACTCTGTGAAAATTTATCAAGTTGTACATTTATTATTTGTGCACTTGTCTGTACAGGTATTATACCTTAATTAAGTTTAATTACAGGGGCACCTGGGTGGCTCAGTGGGTTAAGCCTCTGCCTTCAGCTCGGGTCATGAACTCAGGGTCCTGGGATCGAGCCCCACATCGGGCTCTCTGCTTAGCAGGGAGCCTGCTTCCTCCTCTCTCTCTCTGCCTGCCTCTCTGCCTACTTGTGATCTCTGTCAAATAAATAAATAAAATCTTTTTAAAAAAAAGTTTAATTACAAAAAAGAAACTTTACATGGGGTGCCTGGGTGGCTCAGTCAGTTAAGTGTCTGCCTTTGGCTCAGGACATGATCCCAGGGTCTTGGGTTTGAGCCCTACGCTGGGCTCCCTGCTTGGCAGGGAGCCTGCTTCTCCCTCTCTCTCTGCCTGCTGCTCCCCCTGCTTGTGCTCCCTCTATGTCAAATAAATAAAATCTTTTAAAGAAAAGACTTTATTTATTTGACATAGAGAGAGAGAACATGAGTAGGCAGAGAGAGAGGGGGAAGCAGGCTTCCTGCTGAGCAGAGAGCCCAATGCTGGGCTCGATCCCAGGACCCTGAGATCATGACCTGAGCCAAAGGCAGAGGCTTAACCCACTGAGCCACCCAGGCACCCTAAAATCTTTTTTTAAAAAAAGAAACTTTACAATGTATGGTAGATAATATAATGCCCCCCCAAAGTTGTCTACACCCTAATCCCTAGAAGCTCTATGTTAAGTGTTTAGAATTTAAAAAAAAAAAAAAAAGAGCAGCCATGAGCTGGAGTCAATTCCACCATCCCCCAACCACAAGAGCACACTAGATGTAATTCCAGTTTCAATCTATCCCAGGAATTTGACCTTTTAACAGTCAAGCTGAAAGTTCCAGATTAGCACTAGTGAGGTAATCAGCACGATAAACACCCTACCTTTCCTTTCCTCTCAGAAAGATGTCTGAACCTCAAACAGTCATTTATTTCCTTTTGCTAGTAACTTCCATGCCCCACCCTCCTACCTATAAAAACCTTCCATTTTGTACAGCTCTTCTGAGCAGCTATTTGCTAGGTGGGATACTGCCCAATTCATGAATCCCTTAATAAAGCCAACTGGATTTTGTTTTTTGTTTTTAGTACAGAAATGTCTAATTTATTTATATATTTGTTATTTTATCTTTTCATTAACATATAATGTATTATTAGCCCCAGGGGTACAGGTCTGTGAATCGTCAGGCTTACACACTTCACAGCACTCACCATAGCATATACCCTCCCCAATGTCCATAACCCAGCCACCCTATCCCTATCCCCCACCCCCTGAATTTCATTTTTAAACATAAATTATATGGCAAAGGGAATTAAGGTAGCTAATCACCTAACATTAACACAGGAAGAGTATTTGGGATTATTCAGAACAATATAATCACGGGGGTCTTAAACGTGGAAGGGGAGGGGTGCCTGGGTGGCTCAATCAGTAAAGTGTCTGACTCTTGACTTTGTTCATGATCTCAGGGTCGTGAGATCAAGCCCTGTGCCTGGGGCTCCGCACTGGGCATGGATTCTGCTTAAGATTCTCTCGGAAAAAAAAAAAAAAGTGGAAGGAGGAGATAGAAGAGTGAGTGAAAAAGAGGTAGCTGAAGCAGGGTCAGAGAAAGGTGCTATGTTGCTGGCTTTGAAGATGGAGGAAGGGGCCATGAGTGGAGGAAGATGAGCGGCCTCAAAACTCTGAAAATGACAAAAAAACTACATTCTCTCCTAGAGCTTCCAGCAAGGAACTCAGTCTGCAGGTGCACCTGCCTGCATCTCAATTTTAGTACAGTGAGATCCACGTTGGACTTTTCATCTACAGAACTGCAAGGTAATAAAGGTGTGTTATTTTAACCCACTACATTTGTGGTAATTTGTTACAGCAGCAAAAGGAAACTACTACAGTTGGTGTGGGGAAAAATCAAGTGTTCAGTTTTGATGTGTTCAGAGAATCTGAACATGTTAGACAGCTATGCGGAGATCTCAAACAGGCAGCCGCATAGGAGTCTGGAATTCAGGGGAGAGGTAGCAGCTGGAGGTACAAATTTCTGAGTTGTCAGTGAAGAGCGAAAAGCCACAGAATGGATGAGATTAACAAAAGAGTGAGTATAGATAGAAAAGAGGTCTAAGGGGGTGCCTGGGTGGCTCCGTAGGTTAAAGCCTCTGCTTTCGGCTGAGGTCATGATCCCAGGGTCCTGAGATGGAGCCCCGCATCAGGCTCTCTGCTCGGCAGGGAGCCTGCTTCCCTTCCTCTCTCTCTCTGCCTGCCTCTCTGCCTAT